ACGGAAAGCCCACGTCGATGTCTACCCACACGCTGTACCCACAGGCCGACTCACACAAAACCTCTAGGCGGTGGCTGCAGCTCAACGACACTTGGACTCGACTGGGTCTCCTGGCCGGTTGTATGCTCTCCAAGTCAAATCTTTTTCGATCTATTCTTCGTTTCTCTGTGTACACAATATACTGTTCCTACTACTGGGCTCCACTGACTTCTCTACTAAGTAACCATGGTCTGAAGATCGCAGTTGCTAGGGTTTAACTAACTTAACCCCCTGCGATAAACCTGCATGAGAAAAGAGTATGTTCGTTGAAAGTCGTCAATTTTTTTTCGTTTACTGTCATGAGACATTTTTCGTCGAAATGGTTAAATTGCACTGAATAACCCAAGGTATGCAAAACTAGACCAGTAGGCGAATGCTTCCCAACGTAATCACGTAACATAGTCACACAAAGTTGATAAAAATGAAGCCTTTCTTTCCAGCTACTACCGAAGAACAAGAAGCAAATCAACCTCCCGAGTGATATTCTTCTTACGGCATTTTCGGGTGAATTTCAGCAAAGATGTGACAGTCCCTGATGAGATTCGCTGCGCTGACTCATCATGCCTTTGTAGCACCGGTGCCAAGCCCCCAAACCATCACGTGACTGAGCTCCTCTATCTACTCCTGAGACAGACCATCACCGGTGCCGTAGGCCGCTATTGGCCAAGCAGTTGATCGAGCCGTCAGTGACTCCCTTTCACATTTTGTTAATGCATTCACGCCCATAGCAGTCAGACGCGCGTGCAGGGCCCAGACTTGCCGTGTGTCGGGACATCGGACCACCACTGGGTTTCTGTATACAATAAACGACTCCCACTGGTCTCACCCCTTCTCTTCCTATACGGTACTGGGCGTGATAATTGTAGTGTTCTGAGCACACTCACGGCTTTGACTCCTAAACCTTCGCTTTTTTAACCTTGTGCTTCCGCAGACAATGTAATTTTTTCCCGTTTTCCTCTTATCCAGAAGTCTAAAGCTATAAGAAGTGGTAAATCAAAGTTCGAACATGCCTTGAGCCGCGAAGGTCTCTACGGTAGACTTTCAAATGCGGTTAGTAGGCTTATGACTAAACAAAACAGATCCTTCCTCCGACAGCTTCTCTATGATGGCGGGAAGACTAAAGCCGAAAGTTTGCAGGCCACCCAATGTATTTTGCTATGGTATCACACAACAATTTAAGCATCCGCCCAAGTTTGAGAAGTGGAAACTCAACTAGCCATGTTTGTCTCTGGATTGAGTAGAGGAACCCGACATGCCTGGGTAAATGCGGGGATCTACGCACCGCGAAAAAACTGCGTCTAGTCGTTGAACCAAGAGACACTTAGTTACCAAAGGCTAAAACAAAGGCTTTAGAGACTTCACATAGACCACTATTTAGCAAAACAACGACCTTTAGGACAAGCGATATTTTGTTACATATAAAAAGGGTGCGGAATAAATGAAGTTCATAGAAACCCACAATAGGCTCTGCCGGTGAACAAACCACAAAAAACCTAGACTTCGAAAATGTAGGCATAAGGAAGTCAAATAATTGCGCATAATGCTTTCAAATGTGTCCCATGTCTGCGCCTTATAAGCACGAGTGGGAGCCTATACTCCCTATTGTTAAGTTGACCCATCCTCTCTTCGCTAGCCAAGTCTTTGTGTACTCGCACGTGACAAACTCCCCCACACCTGTTTTGTCAATCGCCGCGAGAGGCCCGCGATGCTCTGCCTTTCCCACGCTCTAGGTTGACTCGCTTCCTGAGGCGTAGGTTACTTCGAACCAATCGATGCGCGCGGTGCCACCTAACCGGCTAAGGACACACTCCGCACGCAGCACCACCGCGCGCTTACCGAACTCTAAAAGCGCATTAGACGTGACTGATGTGCGCGCTCTCCACGAACCAGGTGCCACGATCAGCCGGCGAGCTACGAGTTCCAGACCAATTCGGGTCGGAGCACAAACCACGTTAATTGTGCAAGTCTGCTCTGCCATCGCACGCACGGGTGCAGTCTGACCGTCATGGTTAAGGCTCAGAAATATAGTGAGAGGATGAAACGTGTTTCTGCAAGCCACTTCCTACTTGAACTACCCAACTGATTAAGCGCGGATATTTCCGGGAGCAGAGCAAAACCGAATAGGTGTCGAGTCTAGCATCACCTCGGAGCCCAGCCACATTGATTTATCAATCGATGATGGACCCAGTGGTGGCGCACCGGCTGCAGGGAGACGATCACCCTAGTTCTAACCAAGTTTACTGCCATACTGAGATCACCAATTTGACAAAAAAACTACTACTCGCCTCTGCGAGTTGAACCAGTGACAGTAAAGCACATGAGCAAACTCTCTTTGACAAGTCCCGAACCGGTCATGACTGCCACAATACGCATTCAGCTAGTCCACTTTAATGGGCTGCTACAGGATCAATAACGGTGCCGACTAATAAATGGCCCTAAACGACGATGATTCGGCGACTGCATTCGTACGGAAAGCAAACTGCTTTTAGTGAAAGACAACTGTCCTATCTTCTTTTCTACCAAATGTAAGACTCAGTACGCAGATTCTATATTGAATTACTAAAGCGCCTATAGTACTGTATATAAACTGTTATATGCCTCCTCCATCGCCGTATATGAAAGAGTACGCCGACGGCAAAGATACGCGATACCCGAAGACAACAGTCAGCACAAAGCGTCTGAAAAATGAATAAATTCTGCATTTTTTTCTCTGAAGTAAAAGAAGGGGGGTCCAGATCTGTACAAATGGGAGTGAGGCAAGCATATTTACATATATTCTGAACAAAATTGTTCGTAGGCGTTTGCATGAACGACCGATGAAGGAAAGGGAGAGCTCGCTTTCTTCGTCCGAGATGAAGGTTCCTGAAGACGTCCCGCGACCAGATGCTTGCGACGACAAACGAACTTGCACGATTGCAGACTCGTCCGCGATAGTTTCTGCAGTTGTATATCACTTCTTCAAAAAATTAGCATTGAAAATGGCAAGAAAAACACGCATCATATGACCCTTCTCGACCTCTAGGTTGCACTTGTTTCGGTAGCACCTGCCTGGCAGATCTGGGACCAAATTTCCTTGCAATCTAACTTCTCAACACCCTCCACCAGACTGGCGGGGATACTCATTTCTTTGACCAGGAAATCGGAGCACTCCGTGGTGCTATAGAACCCCAGAGTCTCAGCCACATAAGACAAACTTAAGGTTGGTCGATAACTGCAAGGGGTGGCAAAATACACGAGTCCACCAAGGGATGGGACGCAGGGAGAACAGAGAGAAGAGCACGAATCCGTCCAATTGCGTGCGCCGAGGAAGACGAGTTTGAGAATGCCCAAGCATCACCAAGATACAAATAGAACCAAAGAAAATCGCGAATTAGGGAAGGAAAGGAAGGAATGTTCAGATTGTCCCTTGGGGGTATTGGAAGGATGGGACAAGGGAGGTAGTAATAAGTTCCAAAGCCATTACGTTCGAACTTGTACTCAGATCACAACAACGTCAAGCGTGATACAAAACATATGAAAATGGCAAATACCAACAACACGTTATTATGGTGAAGACGAATAAATACGGCAACTTACAATAATGGGGGAGCAAAGAATGCTAGCTAAAGATTAGAAGGATCTTGCAATTTTCCTACTTGCTGTTTTACTCAATGTTGACAACGATTACTCTTACCTAAAACAATAAAATTGACCATGTATTGAATATAGGAGCACCCGCACATAAAATCCTACCTGTGGATTGGAGTAAGTAGAAAAAGTGAAAGATATTTAGGTTCTCTTTCGTACTTGCAAAGCTAGGTCCTAACTATATTTAGAAGCAGGCGGGATCGAGCAAACCGTCCACGCGATTTAGTATGACTGCGGCAAATACGCGTATTGATTCACCTTTTCAAAAGAATCAATGCTTAGGGGAATTCGCACACTAACTAGACTTATGAGGGACCTTCGCTACATCAACCCTACTCTCTTCTTATGCTCATAGTAGCTCGGTCGTGAGAGCTCGTCCCGCCTCTTGTGCAGTAAACGTGCCAGCTCTTAGAGCCGCGTTTACGGTCTTACTGCGTGATTAGTTCCAAGACGGTCAATCCTAATGAGGATTGGTTTTATCCTCTGCACACGCTTTCGTGAATCAACACTATGAGAAAGGGTTTCTGAACTGCTTCAAACGCACGAATCAGAGCCCCCCCCCTAGACATTTTTTTAAAGTCTGGCCTCGCAATTCTAAACTTAACGAACACGCACACACATATGCAGGTGCCCTATGACCACACAAAATTACGCACGTCTTGAAAATAGCCTTAATGGCCTGCTTCCGTTCTCGAGGGAGAGACCAGGCCAAAACCTGTAAACAACCGCGTGGTGGTTGTTCCTCTTCATTCGAGGACGGACAGGCTAACTGAAAGAATCGTCGATAGTTCCTCAGGGCCCAGGCTTCGCGCGCCTTGAGGGCGAACTTTATGTGTGGGTGCTCTTTGTGAGAAGACCTGAAGGAAGCCATGATGGTGCTAA